AAACATCCCTGCATCTGAGGGATAAATTCCACTTGATCATGGTATACCATCTTTTCAATGTGCTATTGAATTTAGTTTGCTAGTATTTTGTTGAGAATGTTTATACCTCTATATATCTCTATAAGGATATTGTCCTGAAGTTTTCTTTACTTGTGGGTTTGGTATCTGCATAATGCTGGCCTTGTAAAATGAGTTTAGGGGGCTCCCTCTTCAATTTTTTGGAAGTGAAAGTAGAAAAGATACTAATTCTTTCTTGAATGTTTGGTAGAATTTACCCTTTCAGCCATCTGATCCTGGGGTTTTCTTTGCTGGGAGGTTTTTGATTACTATTTCTATATATTTTATATTTTTCCATGATTTTATGTGTTAGGTTATATGTTTCTAGGAACTTAAATATTTCTTCTAGGATTTCCAATTTATAGGCATATAATTGTTCACAGTAGTCTCAAATAATCCTTTATATTTCTGCGGTGTCAGTTATAATGTCTCCTTTTTTATTTATAATTTTATTTATTTGGGTCTTCTTTCTTTTTTCCTTGGTAAATCTAGCAAAATAGGTGTCAATTTTGTTAATGTTTTCAAAAAAATCAGTTCAGATTTGTGTATCTTTTTATTAATTTTCTAATCTATTTCACTTATTTCTGCTCTGATCTTTGTTATCTCCTCTCTTCTGCTTAATTTGGGCTTGGTTTGTTCTTTTCCCACTTCCTTGAGGTATGCAATTAGGTTGTTTATTTGAGATCCTTTTTTTCCTTATTGTAGGCATTTGTTCCCATAAACTTCCCTCTTGCACTGCTTTCTTGCATCCCAAAAGTTTTGATATGTTGTGTTTCCATTTTCATTTGTTTCAATATATTTTTTTTTATTTTCCTTTTGATTTCATCTTTAAATCACTGGTTGTTCAAGTGTGGTCTTTAATTTCCACATATTTGTGAATTTTATAGTTTTCCTCCTGTTATTAATTTCTAGTTTCATAGCACTGTGATGAAAAGATATGTGATATGATTTCAGTCTTTTAAAATTTGCTGAGCTTTGTCTTGTGACCTAATATATGATCTGTCCTGGAGAAGGTATCCATGTACAGAGAACAACATGCATTCTACTGCTGCTGAATGTTGCTGTTAGGGCTGAATGAAGGTGCCCTGTGTGATGGCAAGGGCCAATGCAGACACACACATAGTGTCAATGGCTGGGCCCAAGAGCAGAGGTCAGCATCAGTTGCAGGTACACAAGCAGCTATCGGGTTTCTGTGTGTCAGCATGTACTTGCATGACTTCAGGGGCTAGCCACAAACACATGCATGATGGTTGGGGCTGGTGATGAGAGGTCAGGCAGCATGCAGTTGTGGCTGCTGGGGTTAGCTGCATGCATGCACATTAGTGCAGCACAGTGATAGGAGTCAGGGCTGGCTTGGGAGCCCAAGCAGCTGCAGGCCCCAGGCTGTCTTGCATGCATCTGGGTGGCTATAGGTGCTAGCTTTCAGTGTGCACACAGAATTTGATGCTGGTGATAGAAGGCCAGGGCCAATGGCTTGCATGTACATAGCTTCAGAGACTAGCTGCAGACACAAATATTGGTGCTGGCCAATGACAGGAATCAGGGCTGGTACCAGGTCCACAAGCACTGTACAGGGCGGGGAGGATCTCGGGCAGCTGGTGTCTGCAAACAGGAAGGTCTGTGGTGAAAAACCTCAAAGCAAAATCTGCGAAGGATCCATGGTGGCTGTGTTGGCTGTTGGTTTCCTCAGTGGAGAAAGCCATGGGGGTCCTCTATGGGTCAGTCGGGTCTATGAAGAGGTCCTCAGTGATGAAAGTTGGGGGTGTTCCAAGCGCCCACAAGGGCTGTTGAGCTCCTCAACTGGCAAAGGTTGCTGGGGTCCTCTTCGGTACAGGCTATTGGGTACCTTTGTCACTTCTGTCATGTGGCTAATACTGTTTGCCCCCATGTTTATTTCTTGTTTCCAGCTGTCTCAGTTTTACTGGTATCTGGGAGGGTTGGGACCAAAGCAGATACTTTGTTCAGAGCACTGAAAAGTTGGGGAAACTGATGACTCATTTTGCTCCCTTTTTCCTGGTGACGGAAGCTCTCTTAGTTTAGGAAGTTCTCTTTGGTGAGACAGAGAGCTGCCTGGGGCCATGAGATGAAGCAGGCAAACGAAACTGTTCTTCCTACCTTTGTGAACTTATTTTCAGGTCTTTTGCTTTACTGTGTTATTAAACTTTTTAAGTGGACTCCTGAGCTCTCCCAGAACTATTTTTGTTCATGGACAGCTGTCTAATTGTTTCTGTAGGGGGATGGTGGCTGGGGTTTTCTACTCTACCATTTTGATTATTTCATTCTTCGTCATTGAGTTATGTTTTATAGAATCTAGTTCTCTGTTGAAATTGTCCATTCTTTCACCTATTTTGACCATATGTTTCCTATTTAACATGTTAATCACTAATTGCAACCTTTCCTACATTTTACTCAAGCTGCACATAGGAAAACTGGAAAATTATGTAAGGAAAATTATACAATTCACATAATATATATGAAGTGTGGGAAAAACAAGCAAAAAGATGGGAGCTTTCAGAAACAGCAACTATGTTATCAGGTGGCAAGAAAGAGAATACTGGTCATATTCTAAAATTTTACTAAGGTAAATTTTGATAGAAAATATATGAGTGGCCTTGCTTCATAGCACGAATACTATAAAGATTATTCATGAAGGTTGGTAGCTCTCAAAAATAAAATTTTGATATATGATCAAGCTGAGAAAAACAATCTATTTAATTTAATATATTTATACATGCAGCAGTCTAATGCCAATGAAGTATTTAAAAATTGTATATAAAATATGGATTTATCGAGAAACCCAAGGACCAATATTTTTAAAATGTCATAGACATAAACAAAGAATATATAATGTGTCCCTTGATTAAAATAGCAGCAAGACAGCCTTTCTTGATACACTCTATGATAACTTCCTATTAAAATAACTGCACGGAAGGCATAAGAAAAGATGAAAAACACCATCTCAGTGTTAGATAACTTTTCACCACATGTCTTATGAGAGTACCTAGTTGGTGGGGACAAGATTGGTATATAAGAAAAAGAAAGGATAACTGATGAAAGTGTTGTTTATAGGGGATATGTGAGGAACTTGCCTTTAAAGTAGGAGCCTTGAGTTTTCTATAGTGATTTGAATTAAAAGAATGTAGAATGGGTATAAAATTCAAGAATGTTTCAAGTTATTTTATTAGTAATATGAAAGTATATTTATATCTAAGATTTTCTATCTTCCTGGAAAATAGAATGTAAGGTCATCTACTGAGCATGAGAGGAGAAACAAGATATCATTAAGAGGATAAAGAAAAATATTTTTAATATATTCACAGTCTTCCCCACTAGATTTCCAGAGTGCTGAAACTTCTACCCAGGAGATTAGAAGTTATTACTCTGGAATCTCACCAGCCAAAGAGGCAGCATGAGATTCAAGAAAAGAGGTGAATAATATTGAAAGAGAGAGAGACATGCAGGAAAGAAACAAAAGAGACCTCTAAAAAGTTAAGCTACTAATATTGATTAAGACAGTGTGCCAAATGAGAATTGTCATTGCCACATGTTTTTGATCTTACAGTTATGCTCTTTTAAACATAATAACTTCATGAGTCTGGTCCAGAATATGATGTGTAGAATTTCTCCTCTATTTTCTATTACCTGTGGTCTGGATCCATGTTTTCATCGAAGTGTGAATGCTAGAGATGGGCTCTAAAAAACATGAAAGTAGAAAATATAAAGAAGCCTGCTCTTCTGACTACATTCCTGCTAGCTGCAGAAATAATAACATTGATAGTATCAATATTCCCTAATATGATGAACACATACAGTGTTTATTATGTGATAAGATGATTATACATATCTTCATGTATTATGTAATCTTAACTACCTTATGATGTGATTAGTTTTATAACAACTAGGCTTATACTTGCTACTTTATTTTTAAATAAATCACTTCTCCCATACTTTTATAAGTAAATAGATGTTTATTAAGAAAAAGCACCATTAATTGAAAAAGAAATAACCAAAGAGAATACTTTGGTTAAATTTACAAATAATTTGACAACTGATTGCTCAAAAGCAACACGAGAAGACAGAAATTACCATATGATTAAATGATAAAGAGATATAACCTGTAATTTTATAAAACACAAAAACATAAAGAATAAAGGTAGGTGGTATAATGGAATGACCTGTGATATAAATTGTTTCTTGATGAAAACAGTATTATGTAGGAACACTATAATTCTTTATTTAAAATGTCCATTATTCAATATAAAATTAACAGATATGCCACTAGACAAGCCCATATGAGAGGGAAAGAATGAAAAGGCAAGAAGAAAAATATACAAGAGAAATAGACCATTGTTGGGACAGATTATAGCATTAGTAGATAGACCTTCAAATTATTGTGATTAATAGTTCAGAAGAACAGGTAACAACTTGAAGAATTTTAACAGAGAATGATTTACTCTAAGATAAACTCATTTGTTTCTTCCCTGTACTAGAGTTCCTGTTTCTAGAAAAACAAAATTCAGCAGTGGGAATTTAAAATTCTTATTTTGGTTTAACAAGAGATTAGATAAAGCAGAAGGAAAAAAATGTAGACTATAGGTAGGTGGGTAAAAAAAAAATATTCAGACTGACATACAGAAGGGGAAAAGAAAGAAATGAAAAATACATACATGGAAGTAAGGTAGTAGTTATTTCTGTCAAACTTCAATGAATCCAGAATGCCTATTATAGTCTCTAAAATAATAGCAAACAAACAAAACCCAGTATAAGAAGTGTATAACTAACAAGACCCTGAGATCAGGACCTTAGCCTAAATCAAGAGTTGGACACTTAATCAACTGAGCTACCCAGGCACCCCCCAAAAAAATTGCCCAACGTTTTTAAAAAAATAAACTAGATTGCTCATAAGAGGCACACTTTCATTTTTTATTTTATTGTATTTTTTTCCCTGTATTGCCCCATTGACTGCCACAATCAGACAGACAGAAAGTACGAGGGCACATTTTTTCTTGCATCTCTAGTGGAAACCTCAGCAGCAGACAGTAACTGCTACAAGTCTGTCAAATAGATGCATAAGAGGCACTAAACATAAGAACTCTGAAAGGAGGAAAATTTTTAAAAAGACTATAGCATGGAAATATGAGTAAGAAAGGTGTAACTATACTAAAACCAGATACGAATTAAATTATTAATTGGACCCAGAGAACATATTTTATTTGATAAATCTATTAATACATAATGGATATGAATAACAATTCTAAATGTGCATGCATTTAATACCATAGCCAATTGGATAATAGAAGATATAATTTAGGTATAACTGAAAGAACAAATTTACAGACTTAATGGATATTTCCAACACTTCCTCTCTGTCATTATTAGAATACTCAGAACATCAGTAAAGATATAGACTTGGAAAACACAAAATCAGTAGACATAACAATTTAAGAAAATATGAAAACTGAATACAGTTTTATTTAAGTACACATGGAATGTTTATCAAAATTTACCATATATTGGGCTCTTAAGCAGATATCAAGATAACTAAAGTTATTTAAATCATGAGAATGTTCTCCGACCACAGTGAGATTAATCTATAAATCAATAAAGGGACTACAACTAGAAACATCCTTAAATTTTTGTAAATTAAATGATATACTTTTAATTCATTTTTTTTTTTTTTTTTAGAGAGAGAGCACATACACATGAAAGTGGGGGCAGGGTGGGGGAGAGAATCTAAGCGGGCTCCATGCCCAGTGCAGAGCCCTATATGAGGCTTGATCTCATAACCCTGACCCAACCCAAAATCAAGAGTTGGATGCTTAACCAACTGAGCCAGCCAGGTGCCCCAATAAACACCATACTTTGAAATAACCATGGGGTCACAGGGGAAAATAGAAAATACTTTGAGACAAATAAAAACGAAAACACAACTTACCAAAATTTATGGGATGTAGTGATAGCAGTGCATAGAGGAAAATTTATAGTAATAAACATATACATTAAAAGAAAAATTTCAAATTGATAATCCAACTTTACATTTTAAGGAACTAAAAAAGAACAAACTTAACCCAAAGCTAACAGAAGAAAGGAAATAATGAAGATTAGAGCACAGATAAACAAAACACAGAAGAACAAAGAAGAATCAGTAACACCAAGAGTTGATTCTTTGAAAAGTTAAAAAAGAGTAACAAACCTTTAGCTGGACAAATAGAAAAAGAAGACACAAATAATTAAAATCAGAATATTAGTTTGGGGAATTACCATCAACGTGCAGATAGAAAAACAATTTTAAGAGAACAATTGTATGAACAATTATATACCAAAATTAGATAACCTATATGAAATGGGCAAATTTTCAGAAACACATGAACTACCAGACTGACTCAAGGAAAAATATAGACAAATCAGAACATAACTATAACAATTAAAGAGAATAAATCAGTAATTTAAACAAACAACCCAAAAAACAAAATAAAACAAAAAAAAAAATCCTCCCAGTAAAAACAAGACAGGACCAGATTACTTCACTGGTGAATTCTACCAAATCTTTTTTAAATAGGTTCCACACCCAGCATGGGACCCATCATGGGGCTTGAACCCACAACCTCAAGATCAAGACCTGAGCTGAGAGCAAGGGTCGGAAGCTTAACGAACTGAGCTACCCAGGTGCCCCTCTACCAAACTTTTTAAGAAAAATTTAATACCAGTCCTATTCAGAGTTTTTTAAAAATGGGAGGGAGCACTCCCTAACTCATTCTTTGAGGCCAGTAATACCCTGATACCAAAGGCAGATAGATACAAGAATATTATAGGTCATTACATTTATAAATATAGATGCAAAAATCCACAAGAAAATACTAGAAAATAATGAATCCAGCAGCATATTAAAACAATTATATACTATGACAAAGTGGAATTTATCCCAAGAGTGCAGGGTTATTCAACATAAGAAAAAAAATGATTAATAGACTGAAGGATTTTTTAAAAACTACCTGGCATTGGAATTGATGCAGAAAAAGCATTTCACAAAATCTGACACTGTCATGATAAAGGAGAACTCAAAATTAGGAAAAAATCACAGCTAAAATCATACTCAGTGATGAAAAAACAGAATGCTTTTCCTCTAATATCAGGAACAAGATGAGGATGTCTGCTTCCACTGCTTCTATTTAACCTAATGAGTCTAGGCAGAGTAATCAGCCATGAAAAAGATATATAAAGCACTCAAATTAGAAAGGGAGAACTAAAACTATCTTCATTTGCAGATGACATAATCCTATATGTAGAAAATCCCCAAAATAATCTACAGAAGCCCCTACTAGAACTAATAAATGAATTCAGCAAAGTTGCAGATAAGATTAACACATTAAAAAAAAGTTTTTTTTCTATGTGCAGCAAATAATAACCTGAAAGGGAAATTTAAAAAGCAACTTCATTTGTAAAGGAAACCTAAGGAATAAATACCTATAATAAATTTAACCAAGAAGGTGAAAGCATACACACTGAAAATTATAAAACATTTTTGAAAGAAGTTAAGAAAGAGCTAAATGAATAAAAAGCTTTTCATGTTCATGGATTGGAAGACATTATTGTTAGGAAGGCAATATTCCCCGAAAGCAATCTACAGATGCAGTATAACATCTATCAACCTTTCAATGCCCTTTTTTTGCAGTCCTGGAAAAGCTGACTCTCAAATTCATATGGAATCACATGGGCCAAAACAATATTGGAAAAGAAGAGCAAAGTTGTAGGATTCACACTTCCTGATTTTAAAATTACTACTAAGACACAATAATTGAAACAGTGCATTACCAAAATAAGGATGCACATATTCTCTAATGGAATAGAATTGAGAGTCCAAAATAAAGCCATATGTCTACAGCCAATTATTTTCAACAAGAGTGCCATGGCCATTCAATGGGGAAAGTATACTCTCTTCAAGAATACTGTCTTCACACTTGAGGACAACTTGTATCACATGCAAGATGATGAAAATGGACCACTCACACCATATACAAAATTTTTTTAAAAAGCGTCAATGACTTAAATATAAGCACTAAACCAATTAAGCTCTTAGAAGAAAACATAGAAGTAAATCTTCATGACCATGGATTTAACTATGGATTCTTAGATATAACACTAAAAGCACAAGGAACAAAAGAAAGAATAGATATATTGAAATTCATCATAATTATACATTTTTGTGCATCAAAGAATATTGAGGAAGCTGAAAAGAAAACCTATAGAACTGGGGTGCCTGGGTGGCTCATTCGGGAAGTGTCTGCCTTCGGCTCAGGTCATGATCCCAGGGTCCTGGGATCGAGCCCTGCAGCGGGCTCCTTGCTCTGCAAGAAGCCTGCTTCTCCCTCTCCCACTCCCCCTGCTTGTGTTCCCTCTCTTGCTGTGTCTCTCTCTGTCAAATAAATAATCTTAAAAAAAAAAACTATAGAACAGAAGAAAGTATTTACAAATAATATATTTGATAAGGGTGTATTTACAACATATATAAAGAATACTTAAAACTCAACAACACAAACATCCCAATTAAAAAAATGAACAAAGGACTTGAATAGACATTTCTCCAAAGAAAATAAAGAAACGGTCAATGCACATGAAACTATGTTTAACATAATTATTCATATGGAAATGAAAATTTAAACTCCAAAGAAATAACCCTTCACATCCACTAGGATGGCTGTATAACAACACTAGCACCAGTAACAGCAGTAAAACAGAAAAGTGTAAGTGTTTTCAAGGATGTGGAGAATATGTAAGTGTCATAATTTCCTGGTGTGACTGTAGAATAGTTCATCCCCTGGGGAGAAAGTTTGATGATTCACCAAGAAGTTAAATACGGAATTAACATATAACGCAGAACTTCCACTTCTATTTGAATACCCAAAGGAATTGAAAATAGGTACTCAAACAAATATATGTACATGTGTATCACAGAAGCACTACTCACAATAGTCTAGAGGTGGAAACAACCCAAATGTTTTTCAAAAATGAATAGATAAACAAATGGGATATATACATAAAATGGAATTATACTGATAAAAAGAATGAAGTCCTGATAAATATTACATCACATATTATATAATGCTGTTTATGTGAAATATCCAGACAGTGTGAATTCATAGAGACAAAAAGCAAATTGGTGGTTGCCAGGTCACAGAGAGAAGGAAGAATATGGAGTAAGTGCTTACTATGTATGGTGTTTTCTTTTGGAGTGAAGAAAATGTTTAGGTAAAGATGGTGGTTGCACAACATTGTGATTATACTTAATGCCACTGAATTGTTCATTTAGAAATGATTAACATGGTAAAATAATGATTTACATAATATGAATTTCAACTCAATAAAAGGAGTGACATCTCTCAGAAACAAATCATATGTAACTCAGATGACTTGGCAAATCAGTGGTGAGAAGTTGTACTGTGTTTAAAGTACTAATAGTGAGAAGAGGCTAATTAACCAAGTAAAGAGAAAAAAATAGCCTTAAGGACAAGAGCATGGCTGTCATAAACCACCTACCACGAGGTGTTGGAGGGGTCTGGGTGTCCCCCCACCAAGATGGAAATACCTAAACTTGTGTTACTACACCAACTGCATATAAAGAAAAAGAAGTCATACCTTATAGCTGTCATAGTCACTGCAAACATGTTTATGGACTGAATTGTATCCCCCTAAAATTCATATGTTGAAGTTCTACCCCCAGTACCTAACCAGTTACTGGGTTTGGAGGTAGGGCCTTTATTTATTTATGTTTTTAAGATGTTATTTATTCATTTGAGAGAGAGAGAGAGCACACAAGTGGGGGGATGGGCAGAAGAAGACTGCCCAACAACGCAGGGCTCCATGCGGGGCTCAATCCCAGGACCCTGAGATCATGACCTGAGCTGAAGGCAGATGCTTAACCAACTTAGCCACCCAGGCACCCCTGGAAGTAAGGCCTTTAAAGAGATAATTAAGGGTAAATGAGGTCATATAGGTGGGTCCTCATCCAGTATGACTGGTGTCTTTGTAAGAGGAAGAGATACCAGGAAAGTTCACCCACAGAAAAAAAGTCAC